TGTCATCTGAGTTGTAAACATGTCTTAACTTTATTGCAGGTGGGATTTCTGTTTCCAGTGAGGAAGAGAAAAAGAAAAACCTTTGTTTTCTTATAACCGGAAGTCATTTATTCATTTAATTTTTTTAAAGTTGTCTTGGGCCACTTTTTAGTTTATAAAAATCTTACTTTTATATGATTCAGAATATCAATTCTAAAGGTAATAAGCAGCACAGAAAAGCTGCTTATAATCTACAACCCTGACACAAAGGGAAGGAATATAAGTAAAATTTCTTCCAGATTTATCTTACACATGGTTATTCCACAACACCAGGTGCTTAATTGAATTTGTTGAATATGCACCCATTAAAATGAATGTGGCTATATTTATGAGAATTTATGCCTTTAAGGCATCTCTTGCTGAGGCTATGTTCTCTGGGGGAGGGAGAGAGAGAGAGAAAGAGGCATTTATTGCAAGAACTTGGCTTACATGACATGAAACTGGCTAGGCAAGTATGTAATCTGTAGGGCAGGCCATCAGCTGAAGTTGCTGACTACATGCAGAATTTTCCTCCTTCAAGGAAACCTCAGTTCTTCTCTTTAGTTCTTTCAACTGATTGAATCAAGCATACCCAGATTATCTGGGATAACCTCCTTTACTTAAAGTCAACTGATTACAGACATCAATTATATCTACAAAATACCTTCACAGCAACACCTAGATGAGAGTTTGATTGAATAACTGGGAACTATCGCCTAATCAAGTTGACACATAACACTGACCATCACAAAGGGAGAATGATTAATTATCAATGATGCTGGGCTTCCTGCATGAGAATTTACATGATGTTTCTTCTACATGTGTCCTGTATCCATTTAATGGCTTGACATTATAATAGTAGCTAAGTCTGACAAACATTTATTTTCTTAAGAATGTGATACATATGGAAATAATTTTCTTAGCTCAATTTTCCATGACTGAGTCTTTAGCATAATTACTCCATCCAGGCCATTCATACACTGGCAACTATTATATTGGCTAGTGGTTACAGTAAAAATGAGCTTTGATGGACCTTTTACACACCTACGTGTACCTTGACTGGGGAAATACATAAACTGGTATCTACCAGGTCTCTATTACTGAAAGCTAAATCGGAATCATAAAGAATTAATCCAGGTAATTCAGAATCACCCATCTGAGAGTCAATAACATTAACAAGGCCTGACCATTCCCACCATCAATCTAGACTACTTTTCTGAGTAGCTCAATTTTAAAGTGGACTAAAGCTCCAAATAATGGGAAGAATTTGGGTTTTTGAAAAATTGACGTCTCTTGTATGTATAAGAACTTCACATCGTGCTCTTATCCCCAGAGGCAGATTCTTTATTTTGCCAAGTATAAATATTTGCAATGAAAGAATTCAGATCAACCTGAGAACCTCATGTGGATCAGAGGGCTGTAAGAAATCACACAGATTTTATAGCACATCAAGGTTACAATGTTGGTTAATTCCAATTTTTAATCAATTTCTTATAATTAGAAAATATATGGGTTTCTTGTGCCAATCCTTGTATTAAAGGGAGTAATAATTGACATGTGAAGAATGCAAGCACTTTGTAGATGGTGTGAGTATGGTTGATACGGGTAGTGAATCAACTCTGAGGGCATGGTTGACAAGATGAAGAACAAGATTTATGGGGTAATTAAGTTTTCATTTTAGTATACAAACATTTTCCCATCCATGATATTGCCTATGTAAACATCAACTCAGTTTAAAAGGAGAAGAAATCAAACCAGTTACCTTAATGACACCACGAAAGAGAACTGTCCATTGTGCTGATGAGCTAGTCATTGGTTCTCAATGTCTGGTCCCTGGAACAGATGCATCAGCATTATTCGAGAACTTGTTACAAATGCAGATTCTTGGTCTTACCACTGATGTACTGAATGAGAAATTCTGGGCTGGGAACACAAGTCTGCCTTTTAACAAGGCCTTCAGGTAATTCTCTCAAGGGTAAGAGTCACTGGTCTAAGAAATAGGTTCTTCTAAAACTTTCAGAGTCTCCCTTTTTTTGAAGACCCTCTTGTCCTTTTGGATCTTGGCCTGAATATTATCCATTCCTCAAATCTCTAAAATTTTCAATGTGCTTGGTACTTTGGGCCCCCCAAGGAAGACCTCTCAAAGAGTGTGTGCTTTTGAGACATTTAGAAACTTTTTAACAACTCCCATTGCTCCCTTGGCCCCAGTGATAATCAGCACAGCTCAGCTTCCTGAGCCCTGTCCAATAGTTTCTCCCCAAGGATATTCCCCCTTCCCCTGGAGTCTCACTCCTGGTATTATACATGAAGTAAAGGCAGGGGCTAGGAAACTGTGAGGCTGAAGCAAAGGATCTCCAAGAAGATGTAGGCTGAAGCGCCATTCTGGGCTAAAGGGAGGTGAGAGACCAGTGTTTCCTCAGCTGCACATGGATCAGCTGTAAGAAAGATCTTGCAACACCTGCTAGAGGGTGGGAGTAATAAACAAGTGACATAGACCTGATGGTAGTAAGCCTAAAGGATCAGCAGAGACTCAAGAAAAACTGCAGGGGGAATGTGATGTTGAAAACAGATGCCTCTGGTTACATATGAAAACAACAAAGCACAGAATTTTCCCTATGAGACTTAGAGGGAGGATGCTCACAGCAAAGGATATCAAGGATGAGGAAAATCACAAGATTCTCAACATCGTCATATAAAACAAAGTCACATTTACCTGCTAATATATTAAGTTGGTGAACATTTCTAAGCAAGTGCTAAATCAGAGATGCTGTCATAGACTCTGGGCTTACTAAGTTATTTAATTTGCAATCTAGTTAAATGGAGCAATAGAAAAAATGATAAATGCTATAATGGAGGTATTTATCAAATGCTATTGGAACACAGAGAAATGAGGAATTAATTCTGCATGAGAGAAATGGGGGGAGGAGTCAAAGGGAAAGTGATATTTCTCTTACTGCCTCTAGGTTGAGAAGGTAGCAAAAGGCATTTCAGGAAACAGGATTTATTACCAAAGATATGAAAATAATGAAATATACTGCCTACACAGAAGCTATGAATTCTTTGAACAGCAGTCGATTCCTAGGTTACAGTGATACTGATTAGAAAGGTATAGGGAGGCTATATTTTACAGTCTTGTATGAAATGCTGAGAGAGAGTTGCATGCACATATGTAGGTATGTTCTTCCACCCTGAGTTTGTCCACAAAGCATTTTAGGTGGCTTCTGAGAGTTTGAGTTTTAAGCTGTGAGCCAATCAAATATTATAACTAGGAGGACTATGACCACGTTTGAGTCAGAGAGGTCTCATGGACAGCTGTGTAGAAGGTGTCCTGGAGTGGAAGTAAACTGAAGGAGCAGAATAAGATTAGAACAACCTCTAACACTGTGGATAATAGATTGCAATAGGCCAGGTAAGAGAGGGTAGGAGAGATTGAGACAGGGCAGGGGGAGGGAGGAGACCACTGACCCCCTACCCTGTCACCCTCCATCTTCTTCTTTTCTTTCCTTTTTTTTTTGTTTTTGTTTGTTTGTTTTTGTTTGTTTGTTTGTTTGTTTGAGACAGAGTCTCACCCTGTCGCCCAGGCTGGATTGCAGTGGCATGATCTCTACTCACAGCAATCTCCAACTCCCAGCTTCAAGCGATTCTCTTGCCTCAGCCTCCCAAGTAGCCGAGATTACAGGTGTGTGCCGCCATGCCCAGCTAATTTTTTTGTATTTTTAGTAGAGACAGAGTTTCACCATGTTGACCAGGCTGATCTCAAACTTCTAACTTCAAGTGATCCCCCCGCCTCAGCCTCCCAAAGTTCTGGGACTACAGGCATGAGCCACCTCGCCCAGCTCCTCCATCTTCTTCTGTCCCTTTAGTCCCATTTTCTCCATCTCCCCAGCACTTTTCCACTTCCCCTACCTTCACTTGCTCTATTTCTTCATCTCCCTTTATTCCTTTGTCTATTTCTATTTGTTTTCTTTCAACAACTTCCTTTGTCTCCCACCCTTATATTCAGTAACATCTTGTAAAATTCCTGTTTCATTCAGAAGCTGAGTCCCCTTAATACAATATTCATCATTTGTTTCTCAATCCAATGACTCTCCCTCCCTTTTCTCCCTCTTGTCTCAGCATACACACCACATATGCCTCACTCATAAGGGGCTGCCCACTGTGATGGGCAGGAGAACTACTGGATGTCTCAGGCATCCAGCTGCATCCAGTGTCTTCCTTGTGCTGAATTTGTACACCCGATAGCTATTCACCCACCCAGCAGTCAACACCACGTGCTTTTTAAGGTTGACTATCATTAAGAATGGGTACTGCAGGGTGCAAATAAATTGTGAGATCCAGATATAGCCTCTGGACTTAATAGTTGAATTGTGGAGGGAAAAAATAGACACAGGAAAATCCATTAACATGATGATGTGTTAAATGTCATGTGAAAAACAATTGGCAAAGAATCTTAGTGGAGACTGGAAGAGAGGGTATCTTTAGATTAAGAGAATTCACAGAGGTGAGTAATTGCCATTGATTATTCCATGCACCGTTTTAGGAACTTTTTATCTATCATTCTACTTAAGCCCTCAGAAAATTCTATAAAGCAGGTATTTTTATTTCTACCTTACAAATGTGAAAACTGAGGCCCAGAAAGATTAAGTAAGTTACTCATGGTCAAATCACAATGAAACAAAAGACCTGAAATTTGACTTCAGATGTATCTGACTCCAAGTGTCTTCCCACCACTATATGAATCTTTGAAAGGCAGGTTGCATATATTTCTGGATGACGTTAAGACTTCAGGAATGTGTATCCCAGCACCCACCTGTAAACTCCCCAGAGACAGGACGGTATCTAGTATCATAGTCTACACATAGGATGCTCATCATATGGGCCCAAAACCTTGGTTCTGAGCCCCTGAACCCTGAAAGGGAAAGTAGTGACTTCATGGATCTGTGTCTGTGGTTCATTTTCTTTAGGAGAATGGAGAAAACACCATGGAACAAGGGAACCTCACATGGGCATCAGATTTTGTCTTCCTGGGGCTCTCGCAGACTCGGGAGGTCCAGCATTTCCTGTTTTTAATGTTCCTGTTTGTCTACATCACCACTGTTATGGGAAACATCCTTATCATCATCACAGTGACCTCTGATTCCCAGCTCCACACACCCATGTACTTTCTGCTCCGAAACCTGGCTGTCCTAGACCTCTGTTTCTCTTCAGTCACTGCGCCCAAAATGCTAGTGGACCTCCTCTCTGAGAAGAAAACCATCTCCTACCAGGGCTGCATGGGCCAGATCTTCTTCTTCCACTTTTTGGGAGGTGCCATGGTCTTCTTCCTCTCAGTGCTGGCCTTTGACCGCCTCATTGCCATCTCCCGGCCTCTCCACTATGTCACCATCATGAACAGTCAGCTCTGTGTGGGGCTGGTGGTGGCCACCTGGGTGGGAGGCTTTGTCCACTCCATTGTCCAGCTGGCTCTGATGCTCCCACTGCCCTTATGTGGCCCCAACATTTTGGATAACTTCTACTGTGATGTTCCCCAAGTACTGAAACTTGCCTGCACTGACACTTCCCTCCTGGAGTTCCTCATGATCTCCAACAGTGGGCTGCTGGATGTCATCTTGTTCTTCCTCCTCCTGACCTCCTACTTGTTCATCCTGGTGATGCTGAGGTCACATCCAGGGGAGGCAAGAAGGAAGGCAGCTTCCACCTGCACCACCCACATCATTGTGGTGTCCATGATCTTTGTTCCAAGCATTTACCTCTACGCCCGGCCCTTCACCCCATTCCCTATGGACAAAGTTGTGTCCATCGGCCACACAGTCATGACCCCCATGCTCAATCCCATGATCTATACCCTGAGGAACCAGGACATGCAGGCAGCAGTGAGAAGATTAGGGAGACACTGGCTGGTTTCACAGTGACAAAGGTAGGTTGCTTCTCTTTGGCTTTGTCTTCCCTTTGTGAAGTGGAGAGGGAGCTACTACATCTGCTGTCTTCATAGTGTGTTGAGAGTCATCGTAGCAGGGAATGAATTTTGAAACTAAGCAACTTCGTGTTTTAGGAAAAAAGAAAGGATCCTCTTTGGTGGTTAAGGTTTGTGATAAAGAGTTTTAACACACGCGCAACAATGAAAATTGTTCACACGGCCCCTGAAAACCACGCCCTCCTTTTCCCCTTCTTGGTAGACAATTTCCTGTTGACAGCATTTCCCCTGTGAGAACATTTCTATTTTCAGTATTTTGAGCCCTCTTCCCAATACTCCCTTTTGGTGTGAGTCTGGGTTGTTGGGAACAGCACAGAATTTGGAGGCTTAAGCTCTAAATTAGAGGCCCTGACCCATCATTGACCAAACTGATGACTTTGAATAAGCCGCCCAGCTTCTCTTGGCCTCATGGTTTCTCCCTCACGAAACTTTCTTAAATTAGTATCTGTCCCTAAAATATTCTAGGTTTGTTATGAGATTCAAAACAAAAAATTTTATGATAAAACAACGAATAAATCATATAACTATATGTTATCTTCCAAGCTTTTAAAAATGACTATATTTTATTTTCAAATATGAAATTATTGAGTATTCAAGCTTTATGTCTCTATATTTACATTTTAATGTAATATACTAATTGTAAATAAAAGATCATGGGGAATTCATGCACATTATGAAACATTATGTCATTATGTATGAATGCTCATGTATACACTACACAACTCAAGAATCAGTAGTTACCAATAACTTGCATTCACCTGTATTGTCCTCTCTATTACGTTCACCTGGATTCCTATCCAGAGGAAATCACTCTCTTGAATTTCATGTTTATCATTTCATTGCTTGTATAAAATAGTTTTATCACATTTTTTATAAAAACAGTATATTGTTTTGCTACTTTGGAGTTTTATAAAAATTTCATACTGTACATAATATTCTGGGATTTGCTTTTTTCACTCCACGTTTTGTTTCTAAGCTCCACATGTTCATGTTTGGCTATAATTCATTCATTTGCTCTGCTGTAGAATATTTCACCATCAGAATAAACTTATTTGGGTTGTTTCCAGGTTTTGGCTACTGGAGAGTGCTTTTTTTGTTGTTGTTGTTTCCTTTGAGATGAAGTTTCACTCTGCTGCCCAGGCTGGAGTGCAGTGGTGCGATCTCAGCTCACTGCAGGCTCTGCCTCCCAGGTTCAAGTGATTCTCCTGCCTCAGCCTCCCTAGTAGCTGGGATTACAGGCGCTCATCACCACACCCAGCTAATTTTTACATTTTTAGTAGAGACAGGGTTTTTCCATGTTGACCAGGCTAGTCTCAAACATCTGACCTCAAGCCATCCGCCCACTTCAGCCTCCCAAAGTGCTGGGATTACAGGTGTGAGTCACCGCACCCGGCCCAAAGAGTGCTTTTCAAAAACTTCCTCTAGTTGTTTCTAGTTGCTATGTTGAAGTGTTCTGGTTCGTATACTTGAAAGAGGAATTGTTAAGGCATGAGGTCTTCAAAGATTTAATTTTACAAAATAGTGCCAAATAGTTTTCCAAAGTTGTAGTACCAAATTACAAGTTCATCAGCAGTTTACGTGTTCTCATTGATTGACACCCTTCTAACAATTGATATTGTGAGACCTCATAATTTTTGCCAATTTAGTGAGTAAAAAATGATATTTCATTGTAGTTTTAATTTGCCTTTCTCTATTCTCTAATATTTCTTTCCATGTTTTTATTGTATTCTGGTTTCTCATGAATGTCATTTGTTCATTTTTCTATTGGCTTTTTCTAATTGATGGGGGAGTTCTTATATAATTTAGTGACTAATCTACTGTCAGTTATATTTATTACAATACCTTTTCCCAGTTTGTGGTTTGTCTTCTCTATTTGTGGCATTAATTTTAATGTAATCAGACATATCAATATTTTATTTTAGTATAAAATATTATTGGGGTCTAATTTTAGGAAGTTGTTTCTTACCCAGAGGGCATAAAGATATTCTTCTACACAATTCTTTTATTTTAACTTAAAAAATCTCAAATTTACAAAAAAAATTGCAAATACAGTATAAAGTACATTTTTTTCCCTGAAGGTATGAGGGTAAGTCAACAGTCGGACACCCACCACTCAATACTTTAATGTACATTTTCTAAAAAGACATTTTTCCTACAATACTGCCATGTAGTCATCAAAATTGTTACAGTGTCAATACATTACTAGTATCCAGTCTTCAGATCCTATTCTAGTTTGGTCAAATGTCCCAGTAAAGTCTTTTACAGAGAGAGAATTTAGTTCAGAATCATTTGTCGCATTTAGTAGTCATAACTCTTTAGATTCATTTAGCCTTGAAAGGGTTTCTTTTGAAATTTGATAACCTTGGCACTTTCAAAGATTACAGATAAGTTATTTTGTAAAATGTTCTTCAGTTTAGGTTTGTCTTATGTTTTATGATGATTGGATTTTGCCGATGCATCTTTGTCAGGGATATCACAGAAATTACGCAGTGTTTTTCTCATTGCATCCTATGAGGTATGTGCTTTTGCTTTGTGCCATGACTGATGTTTCATCCCTTTGGTTACTAGACTAAGGAAATGTTAGGCTTCTTACCTGTTAGGTGACTCATTTTCCCTTGGATATTAGTAAACGTTTTGTGGGTAAGTACTTGGAGACTATCTGGTTTCTTATCAGTTTCCATTTATTTATTTACTTACTCATATCTGTACAAACTCATGTGCTCCTCTTTTAGTCATTGAGTTATAATCCATTATTATTATTTATTTTGTTGCCCAATATGTCCCAGGTTTTGCCAGTAGGAGTCTCTTCAAGTTGGCTTCTGTGTTCTTTTTACTCTTTTAACACTTCCTTACTTTGTGACACAATGAAATGTCTCATGCTTACTTTCTGTGCTCCTGGTCTGGAATGAATGATTTCTCTAAACAGTCCTGGTTCCTTTTAGTGGAGAATGATATTTAGAAGTCAATATCTAGGTGCCGAATGTGCTCATTGCTATGTATCTATCCACACACGTGTGCACATGAACATACATTAACACGATCAATCTATATTTATTTTCTCTAGCTATGTAATTTTTTTTTTTTTTTTTTTTGAGATGGAGTTTTGCTTTTGTCACCCAGGCTGGAGTGCGATGGTGTGATCTTGGCTCACTGCAACTTTTTTTTTTTTTTTTTTTGAGATGGAGTTTTGCTTTTGTCACCCAGGCTGGAGTGCGATGGTGTGATCTTGGCTCACTGCAACCTCTGCCTCCTGGGTTCAAGCGATTCTCCTGCCTCAGCCTCCCGAGTAGTTAGGATGACAGATGTGCACCACCACGCCCAGCTAATTTTTGTATTTTTAATAGAGACAGGGTTTCACCATGTTGGCCAGGCTGGTCTCGAGCTCCTGACCTCAGGTGATCTGCCCGCCTTGGCCTCCCAAAGTGCTCAGATTACAGGCGTGACCCACTGCACCTGACCCTCTCTATGTAGTGTTAACCATATGTTCACAGAGATACTTCCAATTCCAGTCCAACACCACAGAATTCATTCTGCTTTCCACTTTCTACATGTAACTCCTTTCTCTGGTGGTGAGCAAGCTGACTCCCATAATTCTTAATATCTTTATTTTTTAGATGAAATTCACGCAAAAATAACCACTTTCAAGTGTATAATTCAGTGGCCTTTAGTATTTTCACAATGTTGTACAGCCATCACCCCTATCTAGTTCCAAAACATTTTTGCCACTTCTAAAGAAAACCCCATACTCCTTAAGCAGTCCCCCACCTCCACTTCTTGGGTCCTGGAAGCCACTAATCTGCTTGCTTTCGATTTTTATGGATTTATCTGTTCTGGACATTTCATGTAAATGGAATCATATAATATGTGACATTTTGTGCCTGGCTTTTTTTTTTTTACTCTGCATAGTGTTTAATAAGGTTAATCTACATTGTAGCATGTATCAATACTCCATTCCTTTTCATAGCTGAATAATATTCCACTATATGAATATATCACATTTGGTTTATCCATTCATCTGTTGAATGACATTTGGGTTGTTTTTATCTTTAACCTGGTGTGAACAGTGCTGCTACTAACAATTGTGTACAACTGTTTGAGTGCTTGTCTTCAAATCTTTTAGGCGTAGATCTGGTACTGGAACTGCTGAGTCATATGGTAATTCTGCAGTTAACTTGTTGAGGAAGAGCCAAACTTTTTCCCTCATGAGCTGCACCATGTTTCATTACCACCAGTAATGCATTAAGGTTCCGATTTCTTCATATCCTTGCTAACACTTGTTATTTTTCATTATTATTATGATTATTACAGGTTGAACATCCCTAATCCAAAAATCTAAAATCCAAAATGCCCCAGAATTTGAATTTTTTTGAGTACCAACATGACACCCCAAGTGAAAAATTCCACTGGCCTCATGTGATGGGTCACAGTCAAAACTTCATTTCATGCACAAAATTATTAAAAATCCTTTGTAAAATTACCTTCAGGCTATTTGTATAAGGTGTATGTGAAAAATACATTTTGTATTTAGACTTGAATCCTATTCCCAAGATATCTCATTATGTATGTGCAAATATTCAAAAATCCAGAAAAACTTTAAATCCAAAACACTTTTCATGGTTGGGATCTTCTGATAAGGGATACTCAACCTATATTATCATTATCATTGTTATTACCACCCTATTGGGTGTGAAGTGGTTGGTATCTCATTATGGTTTTTATTTCCATTTTGCTAATTACTAATGATGTTGAGCATCTTTTCATGTGTTTGTTGGCATTTGTCTACTTTCTTTAGAGAAATGTCTGTTCTAGTCCTTTGCCCATTTAAAAAAAATTGGGTTGTTTGTCTTTTAGTTGTTGATTTGAAGTGTTAATTATGTATTTGGAATATTTAACCCTTATTGGATATTGATTTGCAAATATTTTCTCCCATTCTTTATG